AAAGTGCCCCCACACCCCCGCCCCTTCCCACACACCCCCCCACATGCTCCCTCCTCCTGCACCCCTTGCCTCTCACCTACCTCTTCATCCCCACACCCCCCTCCCGTTGCCCCTCACACCCCTGTCACCACTGGGCATCCGGCCTCCTCGCCCTGGAGCAGGTCCCATGATGGTGGTAAAAATAACTGAGGGCATGTGAACAGGGGGAGGGCCTGACAAGGGCGGAGCGAGGCTGATACTAAGTAAGGGACCCCTGGAGTTGAGGGCAGGGAAGTGCCCTCCCCTGAGCCCTGGAGGTGGGCTCTGAGCTCCGCCCCCCCTCCCTCGCGGGTACCAGGAGGCCCTGGTCACACAGATGAGTCACCTCCGTCAGGCGCATACCCAGCGCCAGCAGCGAACAGAGCCAGGTGGCGGAGCTCTCAGAGAGGTAAGGAGCCCAGCAGGCGCTGCTAGCACACGGGGTCCCCTCCAGGCTGAAGCTCCCCACTTCTTCCCCACCCACCCAACCCTGCCCTCTGTCCTCAGGTCCCCGGCTGCCACCCAGGACCCTTCTCAGCACCCTCAGCGATGCCTCTTCACCATGTCTCGGCCCAGTGTGGCCCCCTCATACCTAGTCCAAGGGGGCTTGTCTGAGTCCCCTCCCCTGGCCTGAGCCCCCATGGCGGGCACGGCAGCAGCGGGCTGGCGGCGGCCCCAGCGGGTGAGCATGCAGGAGCACATGGCCATCGATGTGAACCCCGGACCCATCCAGCCCATCCCCCTCATTTCTGACTACTTCCCCCATTTCTACCCCTTTGCTGAGCCTGCCCGGGGTGCCCCAGGCCCACACCCTGCAGTGTCTCCCGCCAGCTCTGCACCCCAGCTGCAGCCAGACCCAGAGCCAGAGGGAGACTCAGACGACAGCGGTGAGTGGGGATAGGGGATGAGGACACGCTGGGCCCAGCCCAGCCAGGATGGGGTCTCAGGCATCCCGGGCATCTGACCTGTGAGGGGCAGGGCAGGAGGCATGGTGCCGCGGTGGCAGGGTGCCAGAGGAACTGACCTGCATGCCACCTGCCCTTAGCTACCCTGGGCACCCTCGAGTTCACACTTCTTTTTGATGCGGACAACAGCGCCCTGCACTGCACGGCTCACCATGCCAAGGTAAGGATGGGCGGGGGTCCCTGAGCCGTGGGCCTGGGCCACAGGCCTGCCCCATATCTGTTGTTTCTTCCCAGGGCCTCAAGCCACCAGCCTCAGGCTCCCTGGACACCTATGTCAAAGCCAATCTGCTGCCAGGGGCCAGCAAGGTGAGGGCAAGACCCAGGCTCCTGCTGCTGCCCCTCAGCCACACACCCACCTGTCCTGGCCGGATCCTCCCCACGAGGCCTGGGCATCAGGCTGCACAACTGGGGTTCTACTGGGGAGGTGGCAAGGGTGGGGCCCTGGGGCCGAGGAGGCCCTGACGCCCCCTGCCTGGCCCTCAGGCCAGCCAGCTGAGGACACGCACAGTTCGGGGCACAAGGGGGCCTGTCTGGGAAGAGACGCTCACTTACCACGGCTTCACCCACCAGGATGTTGGGCGCAAGACCCTGCGGTGAGGCTTGAGGCTGGGCCACGAGGGGACAGGGTGGAGTGGGGCTTGCCTGCCCGGGTCTGACTGGGGTGGCCACCAGGTTGTGTGTGTGTGAGGACCCACGGCTGCGGCCACGGCGGCGGCGAGTGCCTCCCCTGGGGGAGCTGCGGGTGCCCCTGAGGAAGTTGGTGCCCAACCGAGCCAGGAGCTTCAGTGTGTGTCTGGAGAAGCGGAGGCTGGTGAGTCGGGTGGCGCACGAGGTGGGGCTTTGGGGTCCAGCAATCTTGTGATGGGGGAGCTGGGGGGGGGCAGGGAGGGAAACTTGGGCAG